AGTTTTAATCTAAGGTGGATCACTGTGGCGGACATAGATGGGTCGCGGGTTGGATTGTTGTAGTGTGGGCAGACTCCGGGGCCACCAGGCGTGGTGTCGCCTTCCGTTGATGTCTTCCCCGCGTAGGTGGTCTGGGCTGTGAGGGTCGTCCAGGAGCTTGTCCCAAACCTTCTTCCCTAGGCGATGGAACCTGACGTTGAGGGCCTCTGTTTTATTTCATAGGTGGATGGTTTCCACTGTCTCCTGGTAGGGTGGCGCTTGGCCATTGGCTGACCTCAAACACTTGTTTTGGAAGCTCTGTAGTTGTTGTAGTCTGGTCCTCCCGAGTGTGACGAGTGGTATATGTGGGTACTCCAACACAGGCCTCACCAGCGCCTTGTACTTGTATCTTCTCAGGCATACGGACCTGTGAATTTAGGCGAGAGTTTTGATATGCGTTCCGGCGCTTTTATCATTACTTTTCTCCTATTTCTAGAGTTATAGGCTTAGCTTTCTTATATTGCTTGTAGATCATTTCAGCAAATGAGAGGCTGCTAAGTGTTTTCGTACTTTTCCATGGATGCTTGTGAAAACATTGATTTGCTTCTTGGCATAGTCATCCATGTTGTACACAGGTTGTGGGGTTCCTGCTAGTTGATCATATGGCAAGCATTTATCGGTACCGTAAATTATGTAGTATGGCGATTTGCCTGTAAAGCTATTTATAGATCCATTGATGGATGCTGCAACCTGTGGAAGCCAGTCCTCCCACGAACTATGTATTGGATTCACCACATGTTGGAGAATCTCAAGAATTTTTCTATTTGCTTGCTCGACCAACCTATTTGAAGATGGATGGTAGGCGGTTGTGAAGGTTTGTGTCATGTCATATTGTTGACATATTGCAGCTAAGAGTTGATTCTTAAATTCTGTCCCGTTATCCAAGAGTATCACTCTAGGTGTAGAAAAGGAGAGATTAGATGAGTGACTAATGTATGAGCCACAGATTCGGCTGACTTGTTCTACAATGGTGCTAGAGAAGTGGTTAACGCAGACAAGTACGTAACTAGAGCCTTGATGGCTCTTTGGTAGTTGCAATAAATCGATCGCAACTGTATCCCATGGACGTTCCGGCGTCGGGTATTCTAAGATTGGAGCGGGATCCATCGTTGTTCCCTTGTGTTTTGCACAAGATAAACATTTCTCGATGTTGGTCTTCATAGTTTTCCAATAATACTTTTATCTAATTTCTGTTAGACATCTGTCTCGCCCTGGATTCCCAGCTTGGGGTGCATCATGGAAGAGTGTGAGAAGGTTTTCCTTTAATTATGTAGGAATAGCAATTTGAGAGATTGACTCTTATTGTGTTTTCACTGAGCGATATCGTATGTAGTGGTAGAGGTAATTTGGGCAAATTTACTTCATCTCCCGATTCTAAGGCATAAATAACCTTGGACCATAGTGGATCCTGTTACTATTCCGCTGTTAACTGTGACAGGGTGAACGTGGGTAGTGACGTGACAGGAAATATGTGTCTGGAGAGCGAATCAGCTACCACGTTCGCACGGCCCGTCAAATACTGGAAGTCGGGTGCGAACTCATGTATGGTTAGATACCAGCGCGCTAAACGCCCTGATAAGTTCTTCCCATTAAATAGTTATGTCACGGATACATGATCTGTATAGACTGTGATCGGATATCCCAAAATGAGATCCCGAAAATGCTTGAGAGCCCACACTACAGCTAATGCTTCTAAGTGAGTAGCTGAATAGCGTTTTCTGCATCGATGAGGGTGCGACAGGCTTTTGCTATTACACACCATTTTCCTCGATGATCAGTTTGCATGAGCACCGCCCCTAAACCATGGCCGGAGGCATCATTACTCATGGTAAATGTTTTTGTGTAGACCAGAAATGCTAACACTGGAGCGTTCGTTAAGACGCTCTGGGGGGCATTAAAGCTGTCCTCTTTTTCTTTATTACATGTAAACACCACATCCTTTTTAAGGAGTTTTGTGAGTGGTGATGCTAACTTGGCATAACCTTCAATGAAAGAACAGAGTATCCTGGTAAACCTAGGAAACTATGAAGTTGATCTACGTTCTTGGGACAAGGGAATTGCTTCACCGCCTTTACCTTGCAATCTACTGTGTGTATACCGTTGCCATCTACTATGTGTCCTTGAAATTGGATTTTGGATTTGAGAAATTCACATTTGGAAAGTTTCACTTTCAATCCAGCTAGATGTAGCTTTGTGAAAACTTCTCGTAGCTTCTTTAAATGGCTTTGTAAATCTTTGCTTACTATGATAAGATAATCTAGATAGGCATAGACTGTGTTACCTATCATTCCAGCAAACAAGGTGTTTATCATTCTTTGGAATGTTAGCGGCGCATTTCTTAGACCAAATGGCATTCTTAAGAATTCGAAATATCCCATTGGTGTATTGAACGCAGTTATCTCGCGGGAATCCTCATGTAAGGGAATTTGCCAGTACTCGCTAAGTAAATCTAAGTTGCTGAAGACTGCGTTGTCTTTTCCTGGTGACTGTAGTAAGTCAGTTAGGGCAGGCACTGGGAACCTGTCTGGTACAGTTACCTGGTTGACTCGTCGAAAAATCTATGACTGGTCTCCATCCTCCATCTTTCTTGGGAACTAAAAATAAAGGTGAGTTCCATGGTGATGAGGAAGGTTGGATTACCTGTTGGTCCACCATGTCTTGTACTATCTGCTGGACTACCACTCTTCTGCTGTGGGGTAACCTATATGCAGGGATGTAAATTGGGTTAGCTTCCGGTTTGAGTAGAATATGATGATTTGTCAACGTTGTTTTACCTAGGGGTTCTCCAGGTAATGCTATGATTTCCTTGAACTCGGCGAGTAATTCTAAAAGATCCCTTTTGCCTCGAGGATGATCGACTACTTTCACGTGTGGCGCTATTAACGCTACTTTATCTACAATATGTAATTTTTCGCTCGATTTACCCTGTATTACTACCTATTGGTAATTCTAATGGCTCTTCGACATCCGCTTTGTCATACACAAGGAAATTACCTAAACAACATCCGTTTCTTAAGGTTATGGGTCCCCCAGTTCTATTGAGAACGAGGGCATCTGTGAGACTACCTATTCTAACAGTGCTTAAGGTAGACTAAAGTAACAAACCTTTCACTCGTGAACCTTCACTCAGACACACAACATCTGTTCCTTCACTCACATTTGGCAAACATACTGTGACTCTAGTTAGTTCCTGGCTATGTAACCGTTGTACACCAGTTAACACAGCAGGCTGTAGAGTCCAGTTCTGGTCGCTTTCATCAGAAATGTCTTTTGACGTCGGTAGTGGGGAAATTTCTTGAATCAATTATAGCAAATAGCATCCAATCACATTTAGAGAAAAAACAAATTTATCTACGACTCTCATCATGGATTTACAAAGGGAAAATCTTGTATGACAAATCTGCTAACGTTATTTAGGAAAGTCTATGGGGTAGTAGATAATGACGAAAATTACGATGTTATTTACTTAGACTTCAGCAAAGCATTTGACAGAGTACCGCATCGGAGGCTTCTGAGAAAAGTTAAGTCTCATGGTATCGAGGAGAAAGTTTTAAATTTTATAAAATCATGGCTCACCGATAGAATACAGAGGGTGAGTGTAGATGGTTTTAAATCTGAGCGGGGCCTTGTAACTAGTGGGGTTTCTCAGGGGTCAGTACTGGGCCCATTCTTGTTCATAATTATCTACATAAACGATCAAGATACTGGGATCAGCAGTGACATAAGCAAGTTGCGGATGACACCAAAATGGGGAGGCAGATTAATTCAGGGCAGGATGCAAATGTACTACAAGAGGATTTAAATACACTGCAGGAGTGGTCAGAAAAATGGCAAATTAAATTCAACACCAAGAAGTGCAGCATACTTAATATCGGAAGAACAAATACTGTCAAGACACTTACGGGTACTTGTAAGCCCGGACCTTCGGCCTAGAAAACAGTGCATTAATGTTCAATTATGCGGCTCAGTTCTGGTGCCCTTATTATAGAATGGATATAAAATCACTGGAGTGGCGGTGCAGCAAAGAATAACGAAAATGATTCCGGGACTTAGAAACCTTCCCTATCAAGATAGAGTAAAGAAACTGAACTTGCATTCCCTAAAAAGACGAAGAGTACGGGGAGATATGATAGAAGTATTTAAGTGGGTGAAAGAATCAATAAAGGGGATATAGATAAGTTCTTACAATATCCGAGCAGGATAAGACTCGTGGCAACGGATTTAAGTTGGATAAGTTTAGGTTTAGGAGGGAGATAGGAAGGAACTGGTTCATAAATAGGGTGGTAGATGAGTGGAACAAGCTTAGCAACTTTGTAGGTGCTGGGAGGCTGGAAAGTTTTAAAAGGAGGCTAGATAGATTCATGGATGATAGAGAGTGGTTATAACTCTCGACAGGAGCTGCCATGCACAGGCCAACAGGCCTATTGCAGACTACTTATTTTTTTATGTTCTTTTTATGTTTTTATATGTGGCTTGCTGTTTCCTAGCTGGATTCGGTAAAATGCTACTCCGACCACATAGTTGGCACGGGCAATCCCCAATGGAGGTTCACGGCTTCAGAAGCACGATGAATAGTGTCCGTGTGGAATTTAACAAATCCTGGTTTGCTACTGAGGTATAGTATATATATATATATATATATATATATATATATATATATATATATATATATATATATATATATATATATATATATATATCAACGAAACTCCATATTTTCATATAGATCTTTATTTTCCGCTTTACTGCAGTTTTCAATGTTTCCTTTACATCATATGGGTTTGTGAATTTTCTTCTATATTTTTGATTAAGCTGTTCTTTTTTCATTGTGACTCCTATGGTGGCCATGTTAAAGAAGCTTTATTTGTTGTCATTAAAATTTGTTGCTTGGTTCTATAACAAGATGCATAAAAATGTCTCTCACGATGGCAAAATTGTGATATATGAAAATCTATATTTGTTTAATGAATTTTCATGTGAATGATCTTTATTATTAACTCTCCCATAATCGTGATACTAGACAAAGATATGCCCAGGAAGAGGATTATGAAGGGTCCTTGCATATGGACAAGTGTCAGCGCCTGATTTCTCTTGACGTAACCCTCCTGCTTGGCGGCCACTTCCTGGTCTTGCTTTTCTTGGTATTCTCGCTGTTTCCTGTGACGTTCTCTCCTGGCTTTGAGCAGCATGTCTGCAATCCATTTTTCGTATAGTCCAGCCTGAAATGAAGAAGTTTCTTTTATTTTAAAACCGTTATGAATGGATATGTGAGATACAATAAAAAGGCAAAGATGTATTTTTCTTGTGATAGGGCAGATGTTATGACAGAGATTAGAAGTTAGAAAATTTACTTTCTTTAATTTTTTTTTTACAGTATTTGTATTCAACTTGTTGAGAAATTGTCCTCAAGAAGGCTAAACTTACATACAGTGAGTACCTGTTAATGAGAGAAACTAATGTGGGGGGCACTGCCGCACATACTTACATGAAATTCAGCTTCATGAAGTAGCATTGTCAATCAACAAGTTATGAATATTGTTCATGATATATTGTGGAAATCTAATTTTCAAAAATTTGGAAATTTTGTTTTGGGTAAAGAAATTATCCTTCAGAATTTCATTAAGGGACTTTAGTATGTTGAGCATTGGTTCAGCTTCAAAACGTTGAATTTTGATTAATTAGGCCTACTGAAGGCCCACTTGATATCAAAGTACCTTTCTTATACTAAAAATAATGGGTGCAGTTATTTTGAGGGCAGTAGGATAATTAGTTAAAAAAAATCTAATTTATGTTGCTAGATTCCTATAAGCGAAATAAATGAAATTTTGAAATGTTAAACTCAAGGCCCGACCTAAATCTGTATTTTGACGCTCAAAGGAATTTTTTTTCTCCAAACCTTACGTCGTCCACAGTAGTTACCATACATAATGCTAGGGGGACTCAGTGACAGCGCAATTCATAAATCTTATTAAGAACATAAGAACATAAGAAAATAAGGAGTCTGCAATAGGCCGGTTGGCCTGTGCATGGCAGCTCCTGTCGAGAGTTACTACCACTCTCTATCATCCATGAATCTATCTAGCCTCCTTTTAAAACTTTCCAGCCTCCCAGCACTTACTAAAAAGTTGCCAAGCTTGTTCCACTCGTCCACCACCCTATTTGTGAACCAGTTCCTTCCTATCTGCCTCCTAAACCTAAACTTATCCAACTTAAATCCTTTGCTACGAGTCCTATCCTGCTCGGATATTATACGAACTTTATCTATATCCCCTTTATAGATTCCTTTCACCCACAAGCACATTGCAACTCACCTCAACGATGTACAATATAAGTTTATCCAACTGAGGTTTGTAGGGAGCGTCATGAGGTATGGGCCACGCTCCAAGACCCGGTAAAACGCTCTCTCTTCCAATGTACAGTTGTGTGCTGCCGTCCACCCTTGTAAAGTGATCAGCGATCATTTGCTTCAGATAGCGGCGTCCATCCATAAAAGCCTCGCTAAACGATCACAGACACAGACACAGTTTATCATACAGAAATATCATAATGGTAATAGCGGAATTCTGAATTCAATGCCAAAACGATTTTAAATATGTTGTTCTTGATTTCTTTGCGAAAAAAATGGTATTTTTCATTAACTGTTTTCTTCCATACTTTCTTTCTTAAGTCATTGTATTTTTTTTAGGTTTACTTCTACTTCCTGAACTTTATTTCTTTTTACTTATTTGGTATTCACACATGCTCATTTACTTCTACAAATGCAAATTTATTACAGGAATAATTAATGAATAATGATTAATGAGTAGAATTAGTGAGTTAGACATGAGTCAAACGAGAAGATTATCTTAAGGAAATATTTGATATGAAACAAAGTGGATGTGAATGTCTTATTAAACTTATTGGCATCAGGATTACAAATAAAAATCTGTTTAACGCCTTGTACAGGTAAACAAAAACAAAAAAAAATGAATCAATGTTATGATGGTTCCAAAAATGGGCTGTCTAAATATAATCTACTCACAGGTCTTACCGATACAGAGAATCACACCGTTCACACAAAGTTGTGAGTTATATGTACAGTAGCCATCTCTAATACCTGGTACAGCGACTGGTGAGATGTGGGATCTGTGTGTTTGTTTACATCATAATTATTACAATCCATGAATGGTCCTAAGGAACCTCGCAATAGTAGTCAGACTAAGGATGCTAGATAAACATCCCACAGAGATGCCACATCTCACAAAATGCTCCCACCATTGTACCAGGTGTAAGTGCAGGTGATTGTACATATAAAAACATTTAACACCCTCTTAACAAACATTATGGTTAAGTTCTAATCGCAAGGCCACTGGAATTATTATTCCCTGTAATAGGCCCCTGTCTCATCAACAGAACGTATTATATAAATGGGTCAATACATCTGATATTATATTCAGATTCACCACCCTGTAACTTTCCACTGTCTATGAGTAAGACATGAGATTGACACGTGAGCGGGCAACTTACCCAAGAGGGCGAGACCCATAGCTCAGCATTTCTGTAAGCACGCACTGTGATGCCCCTAAGCTTCAGTAGCTCACCTCAACTCATATCGAAAGGACGTGACCAAACGTTTATCATACATAAACGCCGTCCCTTTCTCATTCACTCCTAGACAGTGAGACTTACGGTTGATATACACTCAGGAATTATATATACAACCTTTTATAATAAAACAAAGGAACTACCGTTTGGGTTTCGTTACTTAAAACCCAAATATAAATATGTGTGAACGGACTGGTTAATTGGACAAGCAGCCGATTCATATAGGTGGCAAGCGGTGTGTACGGATTCTTCAAACTGGTAGTCGTATCATCCGTCTGTGTCTTGTGAAAAACAAGAAACCACACAGCAGTGACGCGTTACATAATCCGAGTGTTTAAAATTATATCCCGTATTGAGACGATATGTAGTGAGCGCTCCTTATCTCTGTCACATACAAATACGTGCAGAATTCGTAATATACAAATATTACAGCCTGTTGGTACATATCCAGATTGAGCCGGTTGAGATAGACTCCACTCAGCATTCCCTAGACATTACAGTGTTGCAGTGTTGAACAACAGTTTCGTAACCTGGAATTCAATTGGTATTTCACTAGCAGCTGAGCAGTATTGTTGTGTCGTCAGCGCGAATTACGAATTCCGGTGTCATCATACAGATCTCCATATATACGTGGACGGTGAAGAATTGGCACACGGCAGTTTTCGCCAGCGAACCAGCACCACCAGTGTGATAACCAATCATAGTTTTCTGATCGCCGGAGGAGGAACTCACCTAAATCAAGTGGGCTCGTCTCTCACCAAAGCAGAAGCGTCATCTCGTTGCCAAGGAAACCAGCAGCGGCGCACGCATCCTAGGAAGAGGCCCCACCCACACTCCACTCAGAACTTTTGAAGGATCACTTCTCTATACAGACGTTACACCCTGTATAAATAGGTATTTAAATTACATAATTCTACACACATGAACACGTTCGAGAGATATCTTCACACCGATAGGTTCGTCGGATAGGATTATTTCAATGATAAAGTGTCGAATGTAAGATTAATGTATTGAAATCCTATAATTTACAGTAGTTTGTAAGTGTCTGTCTTCTTATTGATAGTTTAATAATTAACTACAATTCATATTCATTTGTCTTGTAAATGAGAGGCAAGTGATCTACTTACTGTTAAGTATTCATTGACCCAAGGGGGCTAATAGATAATTTCTAAGTTTCCCATGTCTAATGTAGATGAAATCGAACGCCTAGCGCAACTATTTGCTGATAACCAACTCATCGATGATCAAGCCCAGATTGACATAGATTTTGAGTATGGAACACAGTTAAATGTGTCGGTAGGAAGTAGTGAGAAAGTTATAGACGAATCATTTGACGACTTAAACCGTCGTACCCTACGGTCTGGTAATCACTATAGTACCTCACCTAAGTATACTAAAGCAGTTACCCCTGTTACAGGTGATAGTGTGTCTGTTGCTAAATCGGTAACAACCTTATTAACCCAGCCTTCTGTTAAGAGTAAGAATACTAACTTGCTTAATGACACTAAAATGGCATCTTCTAACCCTCACTAACACACCTAAAGCTGATAATGTTATTAATATCATGCAGCGCGGCGATTATGTTCGAAATTTCACGGGACAAGACGATTATAGGGTCGCACATTTTGTTCGTGCATGTGAAGATAGCATGCGCATTAGTCACATAACGACTGACGAAGAAAAGAAAGCATATGTACGTTCCCATATAACGCAGGGTTCCTATGCAGGCAGTCGTTTAAATGCGTTTGGTTTACAAAACCCTGACTATGAAAAGTTCAAGCGAACGCTAATTGGGCTTTTTGGGGGTAGGTCACAGCTGGGCCAACTGCAATGGATCTTCAGATGGTTGGATCGCTGTATTCCAGGTATACGAAACGAAACACCCGTTGACGCTGTTGACATCGCGGGCGAGGTTCGCCAGGACATGCAAGCGACCTTCCGGTCATCAGGCTGGTACAACTCACGGGGTGATATGCCGCCAGAAAATGTGGAAACATTGATAGAACTAATAAGTTTTCTTCTTTCCGTCCGTGTTCCCTTATATAGCCGGGCACAGGAAGTACAGTATGAACCACCCTTGGATATGGTGGAATACGCAAACAAGCTCTGTCCCCAGGCTACGGGCCCCTTACTGGCGCAACCCTCAGTGACGTCACCACAACCCCAGCAGTCTCAGATGCCTCAGATGCTTCACTCCCAGACTCCTTACGCGACACACTTAGCTCCGATCGCTCCTCCCCGCCTAACATATAAACAGAAAACATCGTTACGATGCTCACATTGTAATAAACGTGGATACGTTATGGAAGATTGTTTTCAGCTCCGAGGTAATAGTGCAAATAAAGCCACACCCGGTGCAAAGCCATTCTCAAGGTCAAACAGAGAGGTAGCAAAAGCAGCACCTCCTCCTCCTACCCAGACAGCGCGCAAATGGTGCGCTCTTCACAAATCGACATCTCATAGTTCACATGAGTGCGATATACTAATAAAAGCTAGGGGAGTGGACCTAAGTGAAACGGAGGTGTCGTATAGGCGCAAGCAGAAACGTCCCCAGGACAAGTCGTCGGGGGAATACCAGCGCACACCACAGCACGGAGAGGGATAGATAGGGTAATTCTCACCCCTCCACACAGCACTTCTATAGCGGCCTCATTAGTAGCGGCGCTTAGCAAAGTGGAAGTGTTGTCAGTGCCGGTGAGAGTGGATAATACCAGATTGGCTCTTGATATAGACACAGGTGCTTGCGCTAATGTATTGGCCTTGACATCATATCAAGAGTTACAACGTAAATTCCCTCACCGCAAATTCAAATGGAGGCCTAGTAACGCTGAGCTCGAAGGAGTTTCAGGTACTCAGCTGAGCATCAAAGGAATGGTGACGTTACCACTCAGATTCTCAAGACGTGGTACGCCCTTCTACGCGGACTTTTATATAGTTCAGCAGTTCAATTTGCCAGCTGACGGGTTACTTGGTCTACCAACTCTTCGAAAGAACATGATAGATGTTCATCCACGTAATAATAGTGTTACGTTTAAAGGTGTTTCCTACACAGCAATGAGTCATTCTGAACCTTTGCTCACCGCTAGGACGAAAGTGTTGTCTACCAATCCTATTAAGAGGAAGGCGGATCATGCGTCAGAGATATCTCTCGACCTCAACCACACACCTTCCCAGCGTGATTACAGCAGCAAGAGTTGGACGATCGTACCAGCAGTGTTGAAGAGTACTCTCCATTACAAAAATGAGGAAATCACCAAAGCAACTGTCGAACTACCCAACGTGTACACGGGCACAGATGTAGTGTGTCTCCCGGAAACATGCAAGGTAAAAGGGCTGTCATGTGAATCTACCCTGAGCACAATACGCCCTGGTGGTTTGACCGACGTACTGATTCTAAATTGAACAGGCGTTCAACGAATCTTAAAGAAAGGATGTTATTTGTGTGATTTTCTAGTATATCACAACAATGTCGAAGTGCAACCAAATAAATTCCCAATTCGAGGTATTGTTGCGAATTGCCAACAGACTCGACTGGCCAGGATAGATCAAATAGCGCCACATGTTAAGGTGGTCGATCATCCACAGGGCAAGACACGCCTGTTGGAGCTGATTGCTGACTACAGAAATATAGTAGCCTTGCCAGGGGAACCGCTAGGTCAGACAGATTTAACATCCCATCATATAGCGTTAAAGGAAGGAACCAACCCTATTTACGTACCAGCTTATAGACTACCTCATAGCCAGCGCGCTGTAGTGCAAGATATGGTACAGGGTATGTTAGATGAGAATGTCATTAGACACTCAAAATCCCCCTTTAATAGCCCATTATTCCTCGTCCCGAAAAAGGATGGTGGATGGCGCCCTGTCATAGATTTCAGGCGCGTAAATGATCAAACAATCCCGGATAGGTACCCAATGCCTATCTTGAGTGACATATTGCAATCCTTAGGCAAGGATAATGCGGTATTTAGCAACTTAGATTTGCTTAGTGGGTATTGGCAAATACCACTCGATGAAAAATCACGAGAAATCACGGCATTTAGCACGCCTCTAGGCCACTTTGAGTTTCTACGAATGCCATTTGGTCTCAGAAATGCCCCACTAACATTTCAAAGAATGATCAACACCCTGTTTGCCGGACTAATTGGTAACACAGTCTGCGCTTATTTGGATGATCTAATAGTAGTCAGTAAGGACGTCGATTCCCATCTGATAAAACTGCGTGAAGTTTTGGCCAAACTTTCCACAGCAGGCCTCAAAATAAAACTCTCAAAGTGCGAGTTTTTAAAATCCAGAATCCATTTCCTTGGTCATGTAGTTGACGGTGAGGGCATACACACAGTTAATGATAAAGTCAAAGCTGTATCTCAGTTCCCGCGTCCTACCTCAAATGATCATGTGCGTAGCCTTCTCGGATTATCTGGTTATAATCGTTCCTTTATCAAGGACTATGCAACATTAGCATCGCCCCGAACGAGGTTGCTCAAAAAAAAGATGCAGTGTTTATATAGGATGCTGAACACGAGGAAAGTATTACAGCATTGAAGACAGCGCTAACCAATGCCCCGGTTCTAGCATTCCCAGACTACACTCAACCTTTCACTCTCTGTACTGACGCTCCCGGAATTGGAGTCGGAGCAGTGCTCATGCAAGAGGACACGCGTGGGAAGTTTAGAGTGATAGCATTTGCAAGTCGCAAACTAATCGATGCTGAAACACGTTATTCGGCGACGCATTTAGAAACGTTAGCCGTTGTGTGGGCACTTAAGAAGTTCAAGGACATTATCTTTGGCTACAAGATAACTGTTTTTACTGATCATGCGGCAGTCACCGAACTGTTCCATGGCAGAAACTTATCAGGCAGATTAGCACGCTGGTATCTGACAATTCAAGAGTTTGACCCCGAATTTAGGTATTTACCTGGGATGGCGAATGTTGTCGCCGACGCTCTGTCAAGAAATATAGCACCAGTAATGCCTGTATCAGCATTCACTCTTTCGCAGCTGGAAGATGAGCAACGACGCGACCCATATTTGTCAGCTGTTACTTTTGCTCTCGAATCGGGCGAGGATGTTAAACTCCCCAAGTTATTTCTTCCCTTAAGTCAGTTTGAATTACGACATAACATACTCAATAGGACGAGAAAATCTCCTGAGGGTAATGTGTCTCAAATAGTCGTACCTGACACGTTGCGCAAAGCAGTAATGACATTGTTCCACGATATCCCACAAGCAGGTCACCAAGGTCGTGATAAATGCTTAGCGGATTTACGAAAGAAGTATTTCTGGAACACTATGAAGAAAGACATAGAATTACACATAGCTAATTGTTTGGCATGTGCTCAACATTAAAGGATCAACAGGATCACCTGCCCCGATTCTACAATATCCTACACCAGACCGTCCGTTTGACACAGTCGCTGTTGACTTGTTACAACTCCCAATGAGTCATCAGGGATCAGGATACGTCTTAGTGTGTGTGGATCATTTTTCCAGGTTCGTGGTCTTGGTCCCACTACAAAGCAAAACGGCCGAAGCAGTAGCCTATGCATTAGTAATGAATCTCATATGTCCATATACTACGCCTAAAGTTCTACTCTCTGATAATGGAACAGAGTTCAAGAATGAGCTAATAGAGCATATATGTTTACAATATGGAATTACACAAACTTTTGTGACAGCTTATCATCCACAGGGTAATGGCCTTGTTGAAGAACCAATCGTAAAATCCTAGAAATACTGCGTCCAATCGTTAATGGTTTTCAATACGCATGGGAGGATTGGTTACCGCAGGTTGCAGCGTCGATTAATGGGTCAGTTAATAGCTCTACGGGCAAAACACCCTACTATATTGTCTATGGCACAGATAAACGTCTGCCTTACGACATCCTTACAGAGGCGCCATACCCGGTATATAATACGGATGATTTTGCGGCAAAACAAATTCATGTCTTTACAGAAATTCATAACCAAGTACGATCACAGCTAGCGGCGTCACGCGCCGAAATGATCATCAAACAGCATAAACATGCTAAACCTATCGCACTGAACGTTGGGGACGCTGTTATGTTACAGGTACCTGAAAGGAACTCCAAACTTTCGGCGAAATTTTCTGGTCCATTCCGCATAATCTCAAAAGAAGCAGGCAACAAATTCAAAATATGGAAGCCTAATGCACAGATCGCAGATGTCGTGCACGCGGATCGTCTGAAGAAGACCCAGATAAATGTCTTACCTCAAGTTGATGATAATGTGATTGATACATCCTTACAGACTGTTCAGAAGCAAAATGTCCCAAATGACTATTGTATGAAACTACGTTCTGCGAGTAGAAGTTAACTCGTACTTTCGCGTCAGATGGAAAACGTCGACGGCCAACTACAATCAGCATTGGACATTCTTCATGGTCTCAGCACAGCTTCGATGAATTCGACAATAGTTTCATGAACGTTGTCGTTCAGGCTGTATCTCAACAGAATCGCGTTATTTCTCAAACCTTTCACGCGATTACTGCTCTAGAATCAAAGGTTAATGCAATCATAATGGAGTCTAACCAAGTTTCGAGGATTGTTACTAGGTTACAGAAAGCAATCCCGACGTTAGAATGGCTCCTTTACTTCACAGAATATTTGCATGCTGCTGAAATTTCAGTTCATAAAATTGTAACCTCTAAAAATGAACTAATAGACAGCATTGTAGATGCCGGGATAGGACGTGTGGACGCGAAGCTTGTGCCTGTGCAGACGCTTCTTGAAGCTTTAAAAATAGCCAAGTTGCAGTATCATTTAACTCCTATTTTCAATGACAATGAGGTTCACTATTATTACCCACTGTTGGAGTCAACCCTCACGCACAATGCAATTCTGATCCACATTCCTATGCGAGGGCAACATGAGTTTAATGCATGGCATTTAGAACCCTTCCCCTGGTTTGTGAACGACACACTGTATACCCTAGATAGGCCTAAAGAACTTTTCTTAGTAGATGAAGAATATTCAATGTTATCAATAGAGGATTCTGAGGTACTGTCACGGTGTAAGTCGTCTTATCTACACCTACACGTATGTCCAGCCTACATGTTTGCATTTATTCCTGCTGCAGAAGGAATATGTGAATTGGCAGTCATACAACCAAATGTACGCACAGCGTTAGCGCAATGCAGTTATAGGCCAGTTAGTCTAAAGACTGTGTTCCACGCTCACCTTCACAATGTGCAGTATTTGTTCTTTCCAAATCTCACTACTGTAATTTTAAAATGCCAAAATGGTGTTAAGCAGCTAGTTGTGAAAGGGCATTACAAGGCTCCTGATTACTGTGAAATCACTTGTAGTACATTACGGACCTTGCCTACTCATCAGCATTTTGCGTTAAATCGAAAACTCAAGTCTGCTTTAATTCCACTTCCTATAATGAATTTCACTATCAAGGATATTCAAATAGTATCAGAGAAATTAAAAGTGTTAGCTTTCTTGAACGAGACACATTTTGCTGATTTGAATAATAACTTGCCATTTTATCTGTCACGGGAATTTGCTCTACCAAGTCTTACGATTCCCTCTATTCTGTTAATTCTGGCAATAATGTTCCTGTTCTGTTATTACCGGGCAGTATCATCCAAATTCAACATTGTTCATAACATACTAACCCGTACGACACAAAAGTCTAGGTCCCCTGTAGTAGAGAATACCCCTACAGTAATTTCCCCAGCTTAGTGTCTACATATCTGTTTATAACATGGTTAGGGTTGTCTAGGATGTACTGTACTCTGTGAGTTATTTAGGCCTCACGGAGCTCGGCTGGTAGGTGACCGAGCGATGTAATAGGCCCCTGTCTCATCAACAGAACGTATTATATAAATGGGTCAATACATCTGATATTATATTCAGATTCACCACCCTGTAACTTTCCACTGTCTATGAGTAAGACATGAGATTGACACGTGAGCGGGCAACTTACCCAAGAGGGCGAGACCCATAGCTCAGCATTTCTGTAAGCACGCACTGCGATGCCCCTAAGCTTCAGTAGCTCACCTCAACTCATATCGAAAGGACGTGACCAAACGTTTATCATACATAAACGCCGTCCCTTTCTCATTCACTCCTAGACAGTGAGACTTACGGTTGATATACACTCAGGAATTATATATACAACCTTTTATAATAAAACAAAGGAACTACCGTTTGGGTTTCGTTACTTAAAACCCAAATATAAATATGTGTGAACGGACTGGTTAATTGGACAAGCAGCCGATTCATCCCCGACACACATAATAATATTCCACTAAATCTGATTCACACTAGGAACCAATAATTTTAAGAAGAGATGTATGAAAATACAGTTTGATGTATGTGCAATGTGCTTCATAAGATATTCAATCTTCACACTCGAATTTAATCTTGACACCACTACGAGTGAGATTAAATTCAAGCATGAACATCTTAGCCCTCATGCTCATGAACCTCCCTGTACAGTATGCACTGAACCATAAAAAGGCAAACGGGCTGCGACAACTATATAATTATCCATATCTAAGAGATAATTATGTTTCACTGACTATAGTAGAACATATTACAAAAAAATATAAATATATATATATATTAGACCTACTTCTTCTCGGTTGCCTGATGTAGTCCAACACTGGTACTTGGTACTATGTCCATGAGATCGGAGAGGGCTTTAAACAGGTCGGAATCAGACTGCTTGAAGAATTGTCGAAACTCCAGTCCGTAAGGTGGCATGGTCACCCTGTAGTCGAGCGTCATACGACATGAGAAAATGCAACCATATACCTGTATATATATATATATATATATATATATATATATATATATATATATATATATATATATATATATATATATATATATATATATATATATATATATATATATATATTCAGAAATTTCAGTGTAATTTCAAACGCCGCGCCAGTGGCGATGCTGAGTTCAAGGTCATCTGAGGGAAGTCCGCGCTCCCGCATGTAGCGAGAGGGTGTGGAACTAGGCCTATACGATATTAAATGTAATTTACCGAGTTAATAGGGACGCGAATCATGAAATTAAATATCAGTTATTACATTGAAAATAATTATAGATCGTTTCCCAGTCTGAAAATGTTGCGTACGTCCTAATTAAGTTTAATCGTCTGGTAAATAAGTCACTCCCGGAAAGCGTGAACCAGGGAGCAAGGTGGCCGGGGAGCTGTGAGAGAGGTCAAGGACCACCTCTGTGCTGTACCCAGGAGAGACGGATCGCGTGACCTGGTTCCTTCGTTTATTTAACATCAGTATTAACAAGGTTCTGTAGACCCCACGCGGTATGATAACGTCCACTGGCGGTATGAGACAGAGTGGTGAAGCGAGCTGTATGACCGTCCACTGCACCTGGGTTTGAGCCACCTGTTGAGTATGGTGAGAGTTGGAGTGAACCCAGCTGTCTAGGTGCCCAACTAACGACGTGACGAACGTTTGGGGTCATCAACTCTCCTCTACCTCGGCTCACAATACCACATATCTTCAAGCAGCTTAGTGAAAACCTTTTACTAACGGGAAGCTAAAGCTTCTCTCAACTGTACAAGGTCTGATTGGCTCACTCCCTTCCGCTTCATGGATGTACTGGGGGTAAAGTGAAGCCAGCTGAGTGATACAGGGGCACACACTGGGGCCAAGAGTCAGTGGAGTGTAGAGGTACACTTTCCAAGGTGGAAAAATGCTGATTTGGGCCTTAAACTACGGGTGCCTGTTGGTTGTGCCTTAAACGACTACGGAGTGCAGGTGGAACCTGTGTGTGTGTTAGGTTAGGAAGCATGGTTCACCTGTATTGGTGGACTCAGTAACTTCTTAATAATAGTGACAATATTTTTGTGTGTAGTTAATACTATTTTTTCAGTTACTAATGTATGCTGTGTGCATTTAATATTTCTTTATAATCTCAATCTCAGGTGTAACCTTTGTTCCCCAGAGTAGTGTTTAAGTTAGGTTAGGAGGTGTGTATCTGTTGGGGTAATATAATTTTGTTGAGCGCCCTGAAGGCCTATTCAGGGTGGAGTTAATAAGCTCTGATTTTTATACCATTTTCTCAGTGCTGGATATAATTTTGGTTTGTGCCCTTAAGGCCTATTCATTGTAGAGTTATTAATTTCTTCTTTTTTAATACCATTTTCTCAGTGATTGATATTTTGTTGAAAGCCTTAAGGCCTGGTTCATGTGTGCAAGCAACATTTCTTAATACTTTAAACTTATTATCCTCTAATGAGGCATTGCCTGAGGTTTTAATAATTTCAACATCATGTATAACTTTTATTCCCCAGAGTAGTATTTTAAGTTCAGGTTAAGAAGTGCGCATATTGGTGTACCATTATTTGATTGTGTTTGTAGTGTTGGAGGGAATATAAGTGTAAACTTTACAGTGTGTCTCATTCATCCCAGTCACAAAGGCTATCCTTCCACAGGTCACGGACAATTCATTTTGTTTAGTAAAGTTAAGTGCTCTTGTGCTGGTTCGGGATTTCTCACTAAGGGGCGCTTCCACTGCAATTACCATCTAATAATCTTTAATAAACCCCAAGTCAAGTGAGAAATTAAAGTCCAGTAATTCCGACCGGTTACAAATGGTAGCAGAGCGTAGTTATTTTTATTTCGTGACTGATAGTTCTGTGGTTGGGATAATGGGCGTAATCATGGAGTGGATGGAAACTGTAGAGTGTGTGACCCCAGCTCTACTCATGCTCGCCGTGGGAATGGGTTTGTTGTGGTTGACGGTGCTGGGTTATTCGGAGAAAAGGAGAGACAGCCCGGGTTTGGTACAGTTGAGAGAAGAGTTCGTGGAACGTATTGGGAAGCTAGAGGGGAAAATCCGGGGAGAGTACCAGGAACGATTGGAACAGTTAGAAAGGAAGATCAATGGGGAATGTCAGGCATGGGCGAACCAAATTAGGGGGGAGTATGGAGTATATGTACAACAGTTAAGGGGGGAGCGCCACACACAATTGCAACAGTTAGAGAAGGAACATCAACAACACCTAGCTCAGTTGAGGGATGCACTAGATAGGGTAAAGACACAGTATCAAATACAGCATGATGAGACAATGTGGGAGATGAGGAGACACAATAGTAGAGAGGGAACAAGTCCCGGGGCCGGGTTGACCATGTCTAAGTTCGACGGTAGGCCAGGAATAGAGGTAGGAAAGTGGTTAAGAGAGGTTGACCGAACCCTCAAGCTGCTAGACGGAGACGAAGTCAGTCGAATCCAATTCATAATAAGGCATCTTGCGGGGCCTGCGGCAGATCGCGTATACAATACACGCAGAGACTGGGAAACCGTAGATGAATTGACTTGTTATTTGAAGCAGCAATACGGCGGGCAGACGGCCACGTATGACGCCATTCAGAAGATGATGACGCGGAAACATTTCACAGTCTATACAGATACCAACCCACTCAGTCACCGCGAGAAGGCTAAACTAGGTGCCGTGGAAAGTAGGTGGAATGCGGATCTCGAGCAGTTTAACTTTACTATAGAGTACAAGCCGGGGAAGAACAACATTGTGGCGGATACTCTATCTAGAATCCCGGCGGAACAGGAGGAAGATAGTGAAGAAGAGTATACAGCGATGCATGTACTAGAGGAGAACGGGGCAGGAAGGAAGGAACTGTGGACGATGGATGGGCTGCGTAAGGAGCAAGAAGGCATGGACTATATGACAAAACTGCGAAGATGGTTGGTGGGAGAGCTACCGGAGGATGAGGTACAGGTAGAGCTCCAAAATGATGATTTCCGCAAGATGTACCGAGCTAGGAAATCCCTGATCGTAAGAGAAGATGTTGTCTGGCATAGAAGACCCGAAGGGAAGAATCTATGGAGGGAGGTGCTGTAAGGGCGGAAACGATCCTCCGGCTAGTTACCGCTGCTAACTCGCTCGTTTGCTGGTACAGACGACACTTGGGGTGGTTGGACGGAGGTGATAACGGCAGCAACCCTCTCCGCCGCGGGCAGATTCAACCCAGCCGCCATACCGTCAGTATCTAGCTACCCTGGCTGTGATCTCATCATAGGTCCTGGACTCGTGGGCTGTGTTCCCAGACCTTCACCTATCAACTGCCAACTCTCTGGTCATCTACCACTACCGCATACCACGACCATCAATTCATCACATTCCGTCGGTGCCCCGGTGTTCTCCTGCCTTTTCAAGACGTTGCTGAGTGTGGAGTGAATGGACGCTTCCCTACCCTGAGTGTGCATCACCGTGTTCCAGAACCTTCCCCAGGGCCACTGCCGTAGGAAATATTTGTTCATTGTTTGATTCCATTAATTGCTGACTCCCCTTTATTGTTCGATTCTATCAATTGTTGACTCCATTTAATTGATTGATTCCATTAATTGCTGACTCCCCTTTATTGTTCGATTCTATCAATTGTTGACTCCATTAAATTGTTTGAATCCAATTAATTGCTGACTCCCATTATTTGTTTGATTCCTTTAATTGATGCTTCCATTAATTGTTTGACTCCCGTAATTATTTGATGATTGTTGAGTGGTGTCAGAGTTTTGTTATACTTTTATAGTAAAGAGATGCCAATCTCTAACGGTTGTTTGTTATTCCTCGGAAAACCATGGTCCTTGACTTTCCTATATTAAGATCCTGATTAGCCTGGTAAGGGATTTCTCTCCCTAAGTCCCAGGCCTTTACAGGTGCCAGTGTTAACTCCAAACTTGCAGGAGGCTTTGACTAGAGCCTGCCACGACGAGTTTGGCCATCAGGGGCGAGATCGCACCCTGTCGCTGGTGCAGGAGCGAGGGTTCTGGTCAGGCATGGGAGAAACAGTGCGAGACTACATAGCCAGCTGCGAGAGGTGTGGAGTAGCAAAAGATGAAGTGCCGAAACCCCAACTGCATTTAGGGACGATTGAAGCTGCCAAACCGTTGGAGACGCTGGCCGCAGATTTCACCTTGCTGGACAAGCGGCAAGGATTGGAGAATGTCTTGATAATGGTTGACATATACAGTCGTTACACTTGGGCCTTTCCCACCAAAGACCAGAAAGCCTCGACGATTGCAAAGATCCTGGTGAATCGAATCTTCCTGGCAGTGGGTGCACCTGAGCGACTGTTGACCGATCAGGGAAGGAATTTTGGCAGTGCATTGGTCCGACAAACTTGTGCCACCTCTGGGGTGAAGAAAATAAGGACGTCAGCATATCACCCGCAGGGAAATGGTATGGTGGAACGGTTCAATCGAACCCTGCACGGTCTGCTGGCCACCCTCGAGGAAGAGGAAAAGAATAGGTGGCCAGAGCATCTGCCGGCAGTGGTGTCACAATATAACGCGACTCCGCATGCCTCGACAGGGTTTTCCCCATTCCTGTTGTTTTACGGGAGAGAACCAAACCTGCCGTTTGACCTCAGGCCGGAAGTAGACCCAGAGCCGGTAGATGAGTGGGTGATGGTGATTAGAGACCGGCAACGAAGATTGCAGGAAGCAGTGGAGATCAATGTTCGGAGACGTAAGGAAATAAATAGAAGAAAAAGAGAAGAGAAAGCCCACGAGAGTAGCTGGGAAGTGGGCCAGGAGGTTTTGCTGAGGAACAATGTAAAAATAGGCCGGTGTAAGCTGCAAAACCATTGGTTTGATACGAGATGGCACATTGTTGAGGTCCTAAATCCAAGGCCCGGTTTATATCGCATTGAGCCCAGTGGGGAGAAGACCTGGAAGCGAGAGTGGAAAACCGGAGCAACTTGAAGGCTGCTCCAACCCTAAGGCATCCG